ACAACAACAACAAAAAAAAAAAAAACCCATCAGTTTTCCAAACCCAAATCCATTTTAATCATTTGTGACAGTATTTATCCAATAGTTGAATCCTGGCTGCACAGTTTCATCATTGGGTGTCAGGTGTGAGCCAATCACAGCTCAATGACACGCAGCTCTGCTCTGTGAACAAACACAGTGGAGCTCATTGTTTACCTCAGCTGTGATCCTCTCACTGAGTGTGGGTAAACAGCACATGCGATACACGCCTGTGATAGGACGGTTCAGCATCTGTTTGTCTCTGCTCTCGCTACGCCGCTCAAGGTTGGTTTATATACGCGCAAGGTCGCCCTGATTGCAAAAAACAAAATAGCAGATATGCAACTTTTTAGGTCAGACGCAATAGAGGCTGCTGTTACTGAGTGACAGGAATGAGAAAGACACCACTGACGGATTGCTTCTGCTTTTTTTTTTTTTTTTAATCACACTTGAAATGTTTTAGATCATCAACCAAACTTTGATTTTAGACACAGACACCCAGATTATTAAATACAAAATTCAGTTTTTTTTCTTCTTTTTCCCCAAGAGGACATGGACATAGGAACCAGCCTGGTCCCATGTGAAAATTAATTGCCACCTAAATTGATTCTGCCACCCTTCTGGCATCAAGTGTTTATGTTAAAAGGCTATAGAGGAAATTTGACTCTTCTTTGTGGTATTAATTTAATTTGCACGTCATTTTGTTTTTTTTTTAAAGTAGTGGACTTCGTTCTGTCAATTCCACCTAGTTTTCTTCCAGTTCTGTGTTTCACCCTCAGAATGACGGAGCTGAAATTCTCGGTTAGCTTTACAACAAACGTAACAGGGAGACGCGCTTTTCAAAATGTTTGATTTTTGTTCATTTTTCTTTGATAAGTTCCTGGACTCTTGGATTAAACCAGCCAGATTTGCCATTGTTCCATGTTTTCTCCATTGTGCATAAAGGCTTTCACTGGAGTCGAAGAGATGGCTGAGATAGACTGAGGTCAATGACTTTGTTTCTCGTCTGCTCTTTGATTTCTTTAGAGCGAGGTATGTGTTGCGTTTGAAATCGTCAATGCTGCTTTGTGTTGTCAGAGAAAGTCGATTTAAGTGATGTCTTGATTCTAGACGCCTGGTTGTAAACTAAGTCTGGCTGTGAGTGACTGAAACTGAATAAAAGAAAAGAGGTTCTTCACTTTTCTTTGATAACTTTTTTCACAAAGAGCCAGGTTGGTTTGGATTTCTATTCCCCCCCACCCCAAAATGAAATAATCTCTTGAAAATGGATTTTTGTATTTACTCAGGTTTTCTTTGTCTGATATTAAATTCTGTTGATGATCTCAAAAAAAGGCACAAAGTAAATCTGCAAGTGGTCTGTCACAAGCTAGATTCTTGTTTATTTGATTATTTTGGTTCGAAATAAAGAAAGTCCTTAACAATTTAAGTTTACATATTTTTAACGTTCACATTTAAGTGCTTACTTCTAAAAAATATTCATTAAACAAGTCTGCTGCCCATACATGTCTGCCTTTAAAGAAATGAAGACATTTTTAAATTTGACACTCCACAGTTTTTTTGTTTTTTTTTGGGCGGGGGGGGGAGATTTCAGCTTGAGACTTACATTTGTGTTATACAACAAAACTCTCACCATTATCACCTCCACTTCCCTTTAATCATCCAAAACAAAACTGAGCAAGGACAATAAGCTAAAATAAGCCAAGGACACAGCATTTTGTAAACTTCATAAATGAGATATTCTTTCCTTGGAATCTGGAGGGCGTTTCACATCTGATTTCTTGGCAACTGCGATAATCATTATCATCGTCCTCATTATTATTATTCTGTCTGTAAAACCAAGAAACTTTCAAACTAAACACTCGCAATAAGTCCTTTTAGCTCACACCTTCAGGAGCTTCTGGTTATCAAGGACTCTCTCTTCCTGTGCTGTTGGTGCAAAGAAAAAGAGCTTTTATTTTAGATTAAAGCTAGTGCTTCAATTTGAAATAAGAAAATAAGTAAATTGTATTCTTTTAAGCGCTCCTCACAGACAAAACCACTGCAAAGTTCTGTGCAGAATAACAACTAACTCAGGACCCAGAGTAGTTAATGAAAATAAACAGGTAATCACAGATGCAATTAATTAGATTCTTAATGAGAGTTTTACCAACAAGATGAGTAAAACTTGTTTTAGCATGTAGGAAAAAATAAGGAGTCTGGCACCTGAACAGTGGATACTTTTCGTCTTGCAGCAAGTGATTGTCTCCTTCTTAGGACAGATGATAAAGTAAATTCCAGTTTAGGTGGATACAAGGAGAGCTGAGTCACAGTGACATGTCTCTGGGGCACGGTGCCCTGGAAACCCCTCCGTCAGGCTGAGCTCAGGCATGGGAGTGTTGAGATGCTGCAGGCCTCCTGGCAACCAGCTGCCACTGGAAAAACCCTCAGCAAAACTCCTCTCTTTCTTATTCCTGCAAATATATAAAGTAGAAATTCACTTTTTTGTGTGTTTCCATTTGACTTCAGTATTTCATGAAAATTAGCCAAGGTATGTTTTGTTTTAAGTATGTTTCATACCTACAGCTGTCCTATTTGTTACACAACATTTGAGTTTATTCCATGTCCATTAAATAAAAACTCCTCTGAATCTTCGCCTGACAGCTTTTGCTGTGATCCAAGTAATTTAATTTGTTAAATCTACAATTCAAGCAGAATATCAGAGAGCATAACCTAAATTATTGAAGTTACTTGTAATGCAGGAAGTGTGACATTTTTAACAAATCATGCAGGAACGCAAATGGCTTTTAATCCACTTTTCACTTCTTGCAGAAACCCATGTTGTTTTCTTACTCGTGTCAAAATCAAAAGTGATGTTTTAAATACAGACCTTAAAGAAATCCTGAGACTCGTAATACGCCGAAACATGACAACAGAAATTTATGGAAGTGGATTCAGCCTGCAGAGCTCTTACTGAAAAACGATTTCACCCAAAAATAGCTGAAGCTGAACGAATCCAGACAGCTGACTTTACTTACTCCATCTGCACAAAGTCTGAAGATACTTGCTGCATTGGTCACAGTTATTGTTTGCATGTTTTGGGAGGGGTTTTTTTTCACTTGAAAGGAAAAACTGAGCTGAGAGTCTCCAGGCCCAACATTTCCTATGTTTACAAGGTGAGAAGCATGATCAGCAAGGATACAATCCCAATCAAACTCATATATTATCGCTAATGATTATAATATATTAACATGGACCTTGAAAAAATATTATTTCTCTTTTTTTTTTCTCTACATTTTGTCACAAACTTCAATGTATCTTATTGTGAAACACCAACACATAGCAGTGATGTATTGTGAAGTTGGGAAAAAAAAAAAAAGGCCCAGTCCATCTGCATGCAATCTCTTCCCCTCTTCCTGTCATCCTGGTGTTGCCAGGTCTCTTCACACACATGGATGGAATTAGAAATTTGCAGACCAGCTCTCTCTCCTTTAAAGGTGCTTCCATTTACAAAGACGTCTACACGCAAGTCGACCCCTGGCCCCGCCACTCTTGTCGTACTCCATAAATTAAGACAGTGTTTATTCCTACCAGGGTTTGCAGTTGCAATGCATTTAGCCTACTGGAGGTAATAAAACACATTTTGTAAAAAAAAAAAAAAAAATCTGTAAAATTTCAGACAACCACGTCACACAGAAAAAACACACATTCCAGTGCTCTAGGATCAAAGACGTGTTTCATTAAAAAACTTGGAACCGCAATTTTATTTTATATTTTTCCACTCCGACCCCAATCTAAACCTTCCAAGGTCATGACCGGAGCAGGCCTTTGGTGCTGATCTGAATGTGCGTGCCTGTGAAAACAGGAAGAGACTTCACAACTTCAATTTACACGAGAAGTATTCCAGGAGAAAATCTTTGATTTCTAGGACTAAAAATTGTCACAAAAAGACATTGACAAAACCAGGAATGTTTTTTTGGACAAAAATGTCAAAGACTTCGGCGACCGGGACTGAGAACGGGGGATTGCAAAGCGATCCAGATGCTGTTATTATGGAGAAAACCGAGTAGGTGAAAGAATGCACGGGTTCGAAAGGGTGAAGCAAAGACGTGGAGAAAGGTAGGGATGAGAATGACTGAGGAAGTGGGGATGAGGAATGAAAGAAAAAGGTGTGAGGGATAACACAATGAAAAATGAACGGTAGAGAAAGAGCCCAACAAACAGAACTCAACAGGAGATCAGAGTATAAATAGGCAGCAATGAGGTGTGGCCCTGCCCCCAAAACCTAAATTAAGACGATTATTAAGTTCTATTCACATCTGTTCTATTCACGTATTTGTTTTTTCTCCCTAAATTTAAACTTGAACTTGAAAACTGTCTGTTTGTCAGAGGGACCGACTCCTCCTCATCGTTGTGCATGACCTGCTTCTCACTGCGCTGCTCGATTTACAGCGAACGCAACGGCGGCGACACAAAGCGGTTCAGATACGAGCACATAGTGCAGCAACGCAGCAGTGAAACTCAGAGAAAATTACTAGATTTATTCCAGAACAATGCAGAGCAGGAGGTAAAACGCCATTAACAGTAAAAATAAAATAAAAATAAAAAGGAGAGGAGCAGCACGGATGTGGGACGCTGGAGTTGTGTTGTCCTTGTTGTGGATATGTTGTGGTGAACATGAGCCACTGGGATGTGAGCTAATTAGCCAAGGTTGAGTGGGACCGAAGGGGTGGGAGAGGGGGGTCGACATGTAGGAGGGCGGAAAGCACGGAGAGGCTCACCAAGGTCAAATCCCTGAGACTACAAGTGCTACCAAATACATCCAGTGCATCACTCCCCTCAGCAAAACCCCGAGGATTTCCTCTGCGTTCAGTCTGTGAGCCTCGGCTCACCAACGCACTCCTTCACTCCGGTTATCTCGCGGTAACTTGGCCTGTCCTCGCTGATCCGTTCGTCTTAAGCAGACCTGTTTTGTATGTGTGACCTGCACCGGAAACACAGCAAAGACACGTATGCATTAACGCACGCCGGGTAGACCGTGATGCACGGAGCGCAGAAATATAAAGAAGTCGTGGCGCGATAATTTATGTTGCCCCAATCTCATTGTTTGTTGGTCGCTCAATAAATACAGTATGAATATTTTTTTTGCCTCACAGCATATCGAGGACAGGGTCATGTTTGCATAAGGAGGTAAATTATGACACCAATAACAATGTCGGCATGCTGGGGAGGAGGGGAAGGGAGGAGGAACTGGAGAGAGCAAACATGAAGGGGAAACGGATAATGTAGAGGAGGAGATGTCGGCTGCCGAGATAAACGTTTTGAGAAATGTTTATCTGCAATGACGTAGTCAAATTCAGAGGGCAATGCAAGACTTTGACCCCCAAAAAATCTGTAAAAAGAAACTTTAAAACTGTAATTTGCAAAAGTTTATTATCACAATATTCTTTGCTGTAAAGTCAATATATCCAGGCACATTACCTGTTACATAATTATTACATGTATTTTTGGTAACTTAAAAACATATTTTGAGGAAATTATTCATATGTTGCTGGCTATATTAAAACAGAATATGTTTATAAGTGCAATGCAAATATAAAAAACACATTTAGCTCAATTTCAATCAAAAATATGGACAGACAGTTAGTAAAATACAGAAGCAGTGGCCCTCTTCACTTATCAGCGTATTTGCAGTGGCGTCAGTATTTTGCATAAGTCCATGAGACAATACAAAGGAGGCTAAAGCCAAAACAGACACGTGGAAACAACTCCAGTCTCTGAAACATCATAGAAGTTTATCTAATGATGGGTTAAATCATTGCTCTGTTTGAATTGGGCTGTTTTGTTCACAGAAGCCTGTAATTGTTAATTATTGACACACATAATGGAGGTTGGAGGTGGTGCGCCACCGATGATCTTCCTGTGTGAAACAAACAGAGATTTGAACATGGAAGCATTTTTGGACAGAGGACTCCACAAATACAAAAGTAAGGCAGTTCAAGGACAATTAGTACTCAGTTAAACTGCAATTATATTTTTGCTTTACTTTTACTTTTATTTTAGAGACTTCAAATGCTTTATCTTTTCTATCCTCTGTTCATGTTTCATACAGGAAAATCATTGGTGGCTCACTCTAACTAATCTGGATTTGGACAAACCGACACCCTAGTTGAGTTATGCGCTGCATGTAAAATGTTATCTTTTAAGTAAACTTCACTTTAAGACTCCTGCGGTTTTCCTGTAAGCTCCCTGGGCTTCTCATATCTGACCTGGCTTCACATGTCTGGAGCTCGGTGATTGAAATCTCTGCCTGGCATTTTCTGGTTAAATCACCAAAGTAACTACAACTGCAACCTGCCTCACGAGGCTCCTTGTGCAGGCTTAAAAAAAGGTCCTACCGTAATCACAGCACACATCAAACCTTGAATAATTTCTTTTCATTTGTGAGTAGCACGACAGCGTTGGGAAAATTTGGAGGAGTGGATCACATCTGTACATGCGATTTGACGATTGACAGTGAGGACCAGTTCGGGTGACATTTTTACCAGTATTGTTCGACTAAATGGGAGATGAGGATTGTCTACAATATCAACAAACTGTATTTGAAAGTACGTCAGACTTCACTTTTATTCAAGGCATCCTTGATTCTTTTGTAATAAGAACTGCTTTCCAATTATGCCGTCTGCTTTTTTTTTACCGTTTCAAGTTTATACATTGACCTTGCTTAACTAAAAGAAAAATCTTCTGCACATCATTCTGCCTCTTCCACACAATTCATTTTTACCAGTAAATCTTTTTTCCCTCTTTTCAGGGTGCTTTTCCTATACATGTTTGCTGTTGCCAAGGCCAAGACCTTCATTAAAAGCCTGCAAAAGTTGTTGCACTTCCTATTTACTGGCAGAAATCTTTCAGAGGCTTAAAAAAAAACAAACAAACAAAAAAAAAAACATCATAGTGTGCACAGATCAGCCTGGAAATTAAAACCCACAGACAGACAGAATCCTTAAGTTATAGAGCCAAAATATAAATACAGTTTGTCTTGTGCTACTAATAATATAACCGAACAATAAATGAAGTTAATTTTCAATTATTTTGTATCAAACGGAAAAAGAACCACAACATCAAAAACATTCAGTATAATTTTCTGCTAGTGACTTTCCTTTAGCAATTATTTATTTTACATGATCATTTAAAATGTGTGAAATAAATGAAAAGAAGAGACTCCCACACACAGATTTAGTCTTTGCAAATGTATATATGAGTGTGTGTGTGTGTGTGTGTGTGTGTGTGTGTGTGTGATACTTAGTTTTTTTTTACATTGTTGTTTGATTTTCAATTAGAAGCAAAAAGGAATGTGAGGTTTTTTTTTTTTTTTCGTTGTTCTTATACATTTCTGCATTGCCTCTTCAGTAAACCAGCCATGATCTCTGCATGGTCTAAAAAGACTGGACCTCATTACCCCTTCCTCTGTTTTCTTCAAGGCTTAGACGAAATGCAGCATCTGGTTACTTCTGTGAGCATTTTTAAGCATTAATAGGCAAGTTAAAGAATGATGAGGGAAATATATATATATATATATATATATATATATATATATATATATATATATATATATATATATATATATATAAAATGTATTAAATTTACCTTTGGGATTTCTAAAGTATTTTTTAATTTAATTGGACTGAATTGAACTGAAATGAACTGAATTGAGATGAATTAACAAAATATTTCTCCTTCTATATAAGGCTTGCTTCTTTGAAAGTGAATAAGTTCTCTGTAAAAAATAAAAAATCAGGTAAATAAAAACTGTTTACGGACTGCACACATAATACACTCAATTAGGAGACAAGGCTTTTCTTCCTCATGAGTCATGGCAACTATGGTGCTCAAAAAAAGGTAAGTACCAGACCTTGTGTTGCTTCATTGATTTAAACTAGATTTAATTAACCAAACAAAGCGGGAGGGGAAAAAAATTACTCTGATACTTTTGAATCTCGAATCCCAGCTTCTCTTTGCTGTCTTTCTCTTTGAATAACTTTTTTTCGTGCAGTGTTGTATTGTTAACCAGAGTGCAGAACTTCACACAGTGGAGGATAAGTTTTTATTCCAGTCGGCGTGGCTCATTGTCTGCTGCTTTCTGTGGAATTTCAAAGGAGCTGGAGAGAATAGTGGAAGAATCGAGTAAATTGACGTGGCTGAGCAACGCAATAAACGACACGTTTATTGCGTGCAAAACAAACGCAAAAGCCAACTTTCCACTTTCACGGAAATATGTTGGCTGCTGATTTAGCGATGGGAAACTTAAGTGTCTTGTTCTTAATTTTCAGATTTTATTTACCTGGTTATGCGGTTTGTGCTGAGGTCTTTTGCTACTGACGTCTTCTACGACTTATGAAAAATGGAGCTTTTTGTGATCATCTTGAATGTAAAGAACAACCCATAATTTCTGAAAAAAAAAACTATTTTGTTCTTTCATAGCTAAATACATTCAAACTGTAAAATGCGGTGGACATATCCTTCAACTTCAATCTAACACTGACTCTGACCTTCTTTAAATGAGATGCACCAGACATTGTTCAAAACAACAGAATAATTTGACTGTAAATGTGTAAAGTGCACAGAATGAAAGGTGGCCAAAGGTATCCCAGATGCTTTGTGTTGGAAATCAAACCAAAATGTTTTAGTGCCTGAGGTTGTTTGAGCTTTGGGCTTCGTTTATGTTTCTATCATCAGTTCTAACCATTCAGTTCATGATTGTAACTTTTAAGATCTTCCCACATAGGTTTATTCTTTTGTATTCTGTTCCCTCGTTTATTTTTATGTTCAGTTCTTTTGCTTTTAGATTTTGTTCTATTTGAGATTCTAGTTTGAGCCTTTATTTTTCAATTTCCTGCCTGTTTTTATCTTCAGCCTGCCTGTTTCTTCAATTACTCAGATTTTCCCAATCACCTGTCCTCACCTGCGTCCAGGGTCATTCATCAGTATTCTTCGGTGTATATATAGCTCTCTGGTTTCTTTCTTTGTTGTTGTTTTTTTTGTACTGTCTCCTTCTGTGACATGATTCATTTCCCCTGCCATTGTGTTGACTGTTGAATATTTTCTCAGTTATGATCCCACACTCTCTTTGCATTTTGGCCTGATTTATTTTATTTCTCTTAGAATTAAAGTGAATTTAATTCTAAGAGTAAATCTACATGAGATGTTATTCAAGCTAAGCTACAATATTTTGTTTCAATATAATTTGCAGTTTCTTTTGCAGAAAAAAAGAGATAAAATAATAAAAACCAACTCAAACTTTGCAATGAAGACTATATGCTTCTTTTTAATAAAATATGTCATTTTTAAATAATTATTACAACTATTTGGGGGGTTTTTTGTTGTTTTTTTCAGGAAGGTCCATGTGAATAAAATTTATATTTTTTCCCATCCTGCTGCCATCCACATTCACATGGCTGCAGTGTGCTGTGATATATAGTCAAACACTAACACATTATGTTTCCCAGCTCCTTGAGAGCACAGATCCTGCCGCTCCGCTGTCTCTCAAGGTCTCTCTCCGTCTGCTCCGGCTGCACCAAGGTCAGCCGCTCCGCTGCAGGCTCCCTGCAACCTTGGGAGGCTAACTGACCGGGAAATGTGCGTTCTCCTGTTCCGCCACCTATGTGTCTTAGTGTCAATCAGTAAGATACAGAGCGGGGCTGTCGTTAAATGTTCCGGCGCGCTGCCACTGGGACATTAGGTCACTCTAGTAGATTTAATCTGAAAACAAAGGACGTTCACTCCCAAGGCCGGGCATGGAAAACAGGAGAAAAGCGACAGCTTCTGAGCAAATGTAAATCCCATCAAGTGGCTCAGAGCCTGCGAAATGTTGGCCTAGAGAGGGAAGTGGTTTTTGAATGAGTAAGGCTTGCACATTTTCATCTTTTTTAAAAACATTAAACATTGACACATTTGTATGTATTAATGCCTAATAATGTAAGAAGTGTAAAAGATCAGGTTTGAAATCTGCCGGGGGGGGGGTTTTGTTTGTTTTTGTTTCCACAGTCAGAATGCATGACCAATGTAATCTGCAAGGCTACAGAGTAAAAGCTTTTCTAAATTAAATCAAATCACAGATTTGTACCTGAATTAAAGTCACAATAGTGAGAGTGTACGCAGGCCTTGGTTTTGATGTAAAATCTTGCGGCCTTGCCTCCGCTTGCCCTCCGTGTTAAAAAGTCTTTGTGACAAGGAAATTGCTTTATGAACCGATGAAAGACACTCCAGTGTTTTGGCCTCCCTTCTAGTTTCACTGCTAAGATGATTAGAGAGATTTTTTTTTTGTCTGTGGATCATTCCACCTTGCCTTTTATATTATCAGTCTCTGTCCCTGCTCTTCTGTCACAGCCTCTCCTTTGCCACTTGGCGAAGGGTTTTTTGTTGTTTGAAGGAACAGCTACTAAAACGCTAATAATTTTCAGACCTTTGCCCCTGACCCTTCGTTAGTTTACATAAACAACTTGTTGAGAATGAAACTCCTCCTGAATAGAAATTTGCTTCATTTTGCCAACACTTGGTGAAGTTGGGGTTTTGCGAATAAATGCAGGAGAAACTCTGCTGCGTGCAGCGTTACCTTCAGCCCTTTTAAACAATTCTGGTAAACAGCCTGCGCTGGAACAACAGGTCTGCTTTTCATTTGCCCAAGGTCTGCGGAAATCAGTTCATTTGAATGTGCTCGGTTTGGCATTGGGTGAATCATATTTATATCTGAACATTTGTGTTTAGATCTGTAAGGGCTCGGCTCTTTTTAACATTTACCTGGAATGCTCAATCCGGATGGAAGCAGAAATACCAAACATGTGTCTTTGCAGCCTTGAGACTTCACACGGCTCTCAGGCTGCGCAGCGCTCGGCTCGGTAAACACAGTTTCCTCCTGCGGGCTTTTTGTTTGGACAGGAAACGAGGAAGCTGATCAAACACCGACTCCAGAAGGCCACGGCCAAACCGAGTTGGAATAGGGTTGCAAGTCCCTCAAAAGCACTTTAAACAGAATTGGGAGGAGTAAATGTCACTTTTAGTGCGCAGACGTACCCCGCTGAGAGCCTCATTTGTGCAATTTGTGCGACGTCTTCCCCAGACACGTTCCCACGCCTTAGATATTGCCAATCTGAAATGTATGCCAGAATCACAAACACAGATCCCGACCGCCTGCATGCTCCAGATTTACTGCCGGGCCCGGATGACATCATAGTCTCCGAGTAGACGCCGACAGAAGATAAGGAGCATTAACCGGATGAATGGATGGCGGCTGATAGAGGAGGAGGAATAAAAGAGGCAGAAGAAGCAGAGGGTGTTTGTCATAGTCATGAGGCTTAATAAGTAAGGTGGTAATGCTCCCCCCTTGTGACTGTTTGTCAAACTGCAAAGTTTACCAGAAAGTCATGAGCGTCTCAAAGTTTATGGAAAATGAGAAAGCGCTGGAAAGAAAAATGTTTGGTAAACTTTCTTAATCTAGGTAGACAGTCGTATAGACACAAACAAAAATGGGTGAAGTGATACGTTTCAACAACATTTTTGACTCCATGAAAAAGCAAAGTAATGTCAGAAATGAATCATGCACTGTGGATCAGAGAGTATTTTTAGCACAACTCAAGCAAACGTTTTGCTTAACTCACAGCTGAAGTTACAGATTTTTTTTAAGCTGTTCATAATAATAAATAATCTGTTCAAACAAAACATATCAGACTGGTTGTGCATTGACCGACTTTTTGTTTTGATCTTTATGAAAGGTCAATAGTAATCCACGAAGCTGTTATTATTTTCCTTTTAAGTTTATCATGACTTTTATTTAGGCAGTTCTCCAAACAAACCAGCCACAAATCAAGCAAAGATAAATAGAAAAAAAAAAAAGTAAAATATTTTCCCCAGTTTGGATTTTATTAATTTTGTCTTTAATCATCAGTTCAGATCAGTGCTCTTGGTTTGGAAACCTAACCTTGACTTGTGGTTAATCTTTGTCTCATCTGACCATAAACATGTTTTCTGGGAGGCGTTTGGCTTGTCTATATGGAAAGCAGCACGTTTAGTCAACATTGAAGGTATTTATAGATAAACAGGGGTTTTCTTTTTCTTTTTGTCTTAACTTTTAGTCTTTATTTATTTATCTTTGCTGCACCAGAAAACCAAAATATTTAAATGTGCTTTACCATCTCTGATATGAGGAATATCTATTAGAACAAAAAATAAACAGTACCAGGACCTTGTTGATTGCAGAAAATGTGTTGTTTCTGAACAACTTGCCATTGCACATTTATCTCAATATTTGTGGGGAAGTAAGTTTATTATTATTATTATTATTATTATTATTATTATTATTATTATTATTATTATTATTATTATTATTATTATCCTGTATACATATTTTTGTATCTATGTGAATTTGGAATTTCTGCAATAAATGAAAACTTGAGCAGCCAGTTCATGTTTTTTTTTATTAAGTTACTTGCTATATCCTCAGTCACAAGAGAAATAAAGTTTAATTTTATAATAAAAACCCCAAAATTAATATTGATTTCAATAATTAGTATTTATAAATTTCTTATCAGACCTGTGTCATACACTTTATCGTCATCAAACCATCAGATTTATCTTATAAGAAAACGCAGTGCAGTTAAGATGCTTTCTGGACGCCTCCATGGCGTTCCTGGCACGTCCCACCATTAGGAGACCCAGAGACGGAACCGGGGCAGGATTATGTTCCCCACCTGGCCAGGGAACGCTTTGGGGTTCCCCCAGAGGAACTGCCCCAAGTGAGAGAGAAAGGGAGGGAAGTTTGGGCCTCTCTGCTTAATCTGCCTCCGCAACCTGAGTCTTTATTAAGCAAAAGATAATGGATGCAATCAAACTCATAAAAACAATCATTAGGCAAAAAAAAAAAAAAAAAGAGAAAATACCCAGGGGCCCCCCAGTGTTTGCAAGGCATAGGGACCGCAACTGCCACTGGATCTAAAAGTCCTTATAACTCCCTATTTTGGAAGTTCAAACACCAAATATACCGTCACCTACATTAACGTGCACCACCCTCAGAGGTGCAGCCAATCAGCCCCAAGGAAAATATTGGCGCTTCTGGATTGGCAACTTTGCAAACTCCAGGTGAAAGCGTGTGAAGTAGCTTTGGAGCCAGGCACTTCTGCTTTATAATTTGCATTTCCTTTTGAATATTTTCTATGTGCTCTGGAAAAAAAATCCTTGAATAGGCGGATTTCTAAAAAATTTTGATTAAAATATCACTGAAAAATACTTAAATAGGCACATAATCCACAAATACTAAATCACAAAGAGGCAGGGGGATCAACTGTATATCTTTATGAAAACATTTATTTTATCATGACTACCTTTTCAACACTTTTGTTGCGGTCTTATAATAATGTTATTATGTTTGATGCATGGCAATTCATGCTGACGCACATGATGTCTTTGAGGTCCAGTAACTTGTTTCATTTTTCTGTTAGTTTTATGATTCATTGTAAGTTTTTTTTTTTAGAAAATGTAAATAATGCACTGTTTTTTTTTTTGTTTTTTTTTTCAATGCCGCTCATTGTTTCAAAGAGTGAAGGCCAGTTGAAGCGAGGCTGTGCAACACTTACTATTTAGTGATCATAAAACTGAATACATGGCTTTAAATAATTAGTTGGGCACAGGGTGGAGGCTCATTAGCTTCACTTCATCTCACCATGCTGTGTTTTACAGTTTGAACAGTTGCAGCTTTAATTGAAGGTGGGGTGCTATAAGCTGTGTTGATCAGTCTGATTGTTTTCTAAAGGAAAAAAAAAAAGGGGAAACTCCAGTTTCAATTTTCATTTCCTGTTTATTGACAGAAAGACAAACACGTGGAAAGTTGCTTATCTACACCAATTCTAGGTTTTCACTCTCCAGAACAGCAATAAGCGAGCTTAGTTGTAAAGGAGAACTGAAAGTGAGCTTTTCAGCTTTGTGGTTATTCTTGCGTACTCTCTGTGAGCTGCTCCCCGGAGGCCTCGGTTGAAATCTGCAGGAAGGGCGTGCTGATCTCACCCGACTGCAGGTCGCTGGCCACCCGCAGCAAGCAGCTCAGAACCATGTCCTTGGCCAGGCCGGCCTCCAGGTTGCCCTCCCGGCTGAGCTGTTGGGTGATCTGGTCAAGGCTGGTCAGAACAAGCTCCGAACCCAGCAGCGGGCAAATGGCACTGCCATCTGGACCCGGAACTCCCTCCCTCGCCATGTTCTCCATCATGTACTGCTGGTACAGATCCAAGAGCTTCTGCTCCAGGTAATGATTCAGCAGGGAATTGGAGAAGGGGCCCTCGCGACCCTGGAACAAGAAGCTGCGATCGCGGCCGCTCGCCTGCCTCCAGTGGTTGGATCCCCTCCGGAGCAGGTTCTGCAGACCTCGCTGTCCTGGAGGGGAGTCGTCCACCGCCAGCGGGACATCGCAGGACTGCAGGAACGGCCTCACGGCCTGCGCGTCGGCACACGCCCTCAAATCGCCGTCGTTGGCTGACAGAGGCAGCACCTGCTCCCCTCCAATATGGAGGTCGCTGTAGTTTTCATAGATGGTCTGGCAGAAGGAGGGAACCAAGAGGGCGGCGTCACCCCCGTCACAATGAGGCTGTGCGGGAATTTCCATGTCTGCAGATATTTGCCTCCCCGTATAGACTCCCTGGAGATGTGACGAGGTCGAAAGCGGAGAGATGTACAGGTCGACTGTCTCTCCCGTTTCCCTCCAGGAGCTGTAGGAGACGAGCGGAGCGGGGTCGGAGGTGCTGGGTGTTAGGGAGGCTCTGGGTCGCCCACCAGCGCAACGGAAAGTCTGAGGAGGAGGCAGCGAGTCCATCTCCTCCGTCTCACCGTAGGTCATGCTCAGCAGTCTCCCTTCACACAGCATCGCTGGAAGAAAATTATAAATACTCTGAGATGGAAGCGAAAAAACCTCAGCAGTTTGTTTTAAATACAGTCTGAAATATAGCACAACTAAAGGACTAAAAGGAAAACGTTCAGCGTCTGCTGGTCTTCAAAATACTCCGTGAATCTTTTTGCATTACATCACGCTTTAACCAGAAGCTTTTGTGTAACGGCCTGGATAGAGGGGTCACAGTGACCACCACATAGGTCAGGGACAAAGCCGTAGAGGAGCTTAACTTGAGTAGTTTTGTGAAACTTCAGACAGGTCTTGATATAAAGACCCCTGGAGGCCGAGGTAGAGAAGATGAAAGACGTGAGAAAACCGGAGGGAAAACACTTTCCGATGCGAATGAATAGATGTTTTTTTCTGTCTATGCAACAATCAGAAGAAGGAAAGAGCGCAAAGAGAGTTATTTGCTCCACTTCCACCTGCCGCCTCCTCTCACTCTGTCTGCAGCAGATGCTGCGTCAGTAACATTTAACACACTGTTGTCCGGTTTGTCTGTTCATTTTTTTGTTCACCTCAATGTTGAGGATGTAGAAGAAACTGAAATATACGTAAGCTAGTGCAACCGGTGAGAGAGGAGCCCTGTTGTAGGGTTAGGCTGCTAATAGAGTAAAGGACACTGCATACGTGCCACACTACAGATTTTCATATGCAAAAAATTTAGAAAACAATCCACCTAATAATTACGCACTACTTTGTGTTGACCAGTCACGTAAAATCCCAATAAAATGGAAGAAAAAGTTGATTTGTACCATGATAAGATCTGAAAAAGTTCAGTGGGTGTTGAGTACTTTTGCACTGGAACATATTTCTGATTTAAATATATCAAATATATTTTCGTGAAAAGTACATTCACAGAAATATAAATAAACCATCATCGCTCCAGCAGAGACAATCTTTAGCCTCTAAAATGTTAAAGTTAAAATGAGTAAAATGTCAACAATAGCAACAAATATATCAGAATCAGACATCTTCCTACCTTGAACCAGAATCAAACTTCCAATCTGGAAATCTGCTTTAGCTTTTTAATCCTAGATGATGATGTACTTTTTTTTTTTCTTCTGTTGAAGCATGCAGCAGGTTTTTAAAATTTCAGATGTTTTCAAAATAAGTATTGGACATTTATATAAACCTATTGTTCTTCCCAGTCGGTGTAATTAGGTCTGCATGTATGTGAATGCTGTTTTATACAACCTGTTAGAGGAAGTGGGACGGCTAGCGTCTTTCTCTCGCATGTCACTTCTGGAAATCTGGCTTCAGTGCAACTCTCAACTCAGCATCTCTCTAACTTATGCAGGCTTGACATTGATGTTGACCCACGATGCTCTTTGATAGCTTCGGTGTCTTGTTTCCTTGTTGTTTTCTATTTATGATTTGTGTTCCTATCTATGCATTTGGTTTTACGTCATCAAAAGTTAAAGCTTCTGTCAAAGAAATCAACAAACATAAAAAGAAACCACAGATGTTCTGTTCCTATGCAAAGGAAGCAGGTGTTTAAAAGCAGAAGGAAGTCTAATTTAACACGGATATTATCACGAAGTGAGAGCCAGCGGACGCTGATTCCTCTTTTCGTTTTTCTAAAAAGGCGGCTAACGGTTCCAAGGTAAATCTGGATGGTTGGTTTTTACAGCTTGTACCTTAAAATTCTTCAAAATTCAGAGGTTTAAAGTTTCCTTCTACCTTAACGCTGTTTAGTGACGTGTTTATGTTATCGTCAGATCCAGCAACATGATCAAATATTGAATGGTTTTCCAATATTCTGGCAGTGATGCTGCTGTTCCAGCAGATTTGAGTTTTAAGGGTTCCTGGTTTTTGTTCTGAACAGTTCGTTTCATCCGGTGGAGAAAGTTTTTGTCACATGGTTTAAGTTTGGATAGAAATACATATTAATCACAAACACACTTCACAGCTGGTTTCAGTGGACAAATCAAGTGTCCAAGAATTAAAAAACAAACAAACAAACAAAAAAACATAAACCTTACTGACATATCAAGCCAATCAATTTAAATTCATCTTACCAAAGCAAAGAATAAACCTTCTGCTAGCTACAAGTAAGTGATTGTAGTTCAAGTTGCTAAGGGAGATGAACATTTCTCTATTTGAGCCGATGACCCTAACTTTCAAGCATAATGGATAAAATAAAATAAAAAATAAAAAACGCACAACAAATTCAACCTTGTGCCTCAAATTCTCTGTTTAAAATATTTCAAGTTATTTGTGACATGACCATCTCGCCTTTGGAAAAAAAAAAAAAAAAGAAAAGAAAAATGCTTCAACTGAAACCTCCAAACCTCAAAATCCAAATATTGAGTGTCTCACCAGACAACATCATTAGGTGGATATTAGTTACCCAGTGAAAGTGACTGATGCCGTCAGCCTGTGGGGTTTTTCCCAACATAAAAGCCCCTCTGTCTCTACATGTGTATCGGTGTCAGCTCAGCGTCTTACATACTTCCTCTGCTGGGGACGGAGGAGCCCAACAACAGCAGCCAATCAAATCAAGAGGAAAACACTTTATTATTAATTAACAGAGGTAACACTATACATAAATAGCATCACCTAACTTTTAAAGTTTGTGAAAACAATTAGGACAAGCTGCCTTATACATATTGATCTCCAAATTAAAAAAAGAAAAAAAGAAATTTATCAAAACTTCCAAGGAGTTTATTCTTCTATATTGAGTGAAGTTTAATTATCCTCCCATCTATAATGCATGTTTATAAACAGATGGATTCATGTGGTCGAAGTCAAGATCTGAAGTCTTGCCTAGTTTATGTCTCAGTCTGCTGCTGGTAATGATACCTGCCAGGCGTGCAACAGCTCACTGTAACGATAACACCAAGTGTAGAGTTACCAACCCGACTCCGCAGCGGTGTTGCTGAGCAACATCCGATAGCATTAAAGACACGCCGAGATCAAGTTAGACACCTGTTTTCAGATCTGCTTTTCGTTTGGCTGCTTCAGCACCCCGGACAGAGACTGGCCCCAGGAAACGGCTCAGCCAGAGTTAGCCAAGAAGCTTTATTGGCTTGTTTTCTTGGAAGGTTCACAATGTCTTGAAGCCAGGAGAGAAGACGCAGACAAAGTGAGGAACACAAGAGCAGGTCTGTAAGCATGTAAGAGTCCTTTCAGAGGGATGTTCAAGAAGCTCAACAATGTGTTCCGACCCAACCATCACGGAAACAGAGGCCGAGGTGACGGTGGGCTTCACGGCGACTACCACAGCGCCTGCACGGTCCGACTGGTCCGCAGCACCTCCATGCTGGTGGTGGGGGAGAGAAGCCGCTCCTCCGAGGGGTCGACCCTGACGCGGAGCAAGAGCAGCGTGAGCATCGAGTCGACTCTGTACTATTACCAGAGGCAAGAGGACAGGATTTGGCTGTACTCCCAGAACCAGAACTGTCTGGAGTACCTGGAGGCCCTGGTGGCTCTCAGGAGGCAGTACACTAAGAGTGTCAGCGACCTGAAGAGCAACGATGCCAAGGCCGCAGCGTGTCCGAAGAGGAAACCCGCACCTCCACCTCCAAAGATGGAGGAACCGGTAAGATGCGCAGGAGTATTGGTACTCCATGTTATCGTCTTCCAACCACAAACTGCGATGGCTTTGATTGAGGTTTGGTGAGAAAGACCAGCACATGAACATTTTTGTTGTGAAATAGAAGGAAAATTAAAAATAAAAAATGTTTTAACTTAGAAAAAAATTCAAAGAGTATTACACACATAGTGACTTTATTTATTAGTTAGAGGCTTTTGAAAGCAAGTAGTTTCACCAGATTTTATTTGCGTAAAGATACTTTTCTCTTTTTTTGTTGTAAACCACAAACTTCAAAACTATTTTGTTTTGCTCTATCGCATAAAATCCCAATGAAATACATTCAAATTTCAAAACACCTGCGTACTGAAAGAAAGAGCCAATTATTCCTCTTCTGTCAACCACAGATATTAAGACCCAAACCATCCACGCCTCCGGTCCCCACAGAGGAGGACACGCTGCAGTTCTTTGATGAGGTCATCGCCAGCTGTGACAGCGAACCTCTGCGTAAACCCTACAAGGACGACGGCCACGCAGACGTAGATGTCATAGGTGAGCGAGAGAGAGAGAGAGAGACCGACCGATCCTGGGAACCAGTGGGATGGTTCTGTGAATTCTGAATGTGAGCGGTGACATAGGCACAAAGAAACAAGTCTGAGGAACAAAATCTAATTTGTACATGCTTGATGTTTCTGATTTTACAGTTAAGACTACAGACAGTTTTTTTTTTTATTACGCAGGTTGACCCAGCGTGTTTCTAATAACGAGTTTTAATAAATGTTTTGAACTGATAGCATCGTTCCTTACTCTGATTCTTAGAAATAACATTTCTAAGAATGTTAGAAATGGAGCCCGATCCACCTGCCCAAAGTGGTGGAGAGCGCCTTCCAGACCCTGCGCTTTAAGCCCAAATTAAAAAAGCAGTGAGGCTAACGTGGACACGTGAAACCAGCAGCACTGCCGTGACGCTGACTGAGCTCAGACTAAATGGTTTTTGCATCTTGTTAAGACTGCTACACACACTGACGCTGCAGCAAACGCAGTGGCTGGCAAAAGTATTCGTACTCCTCATACGATTTTTTTTTTTGAAAATGAAGGCAGTCGAGTGTGTCCGAGCAGACAAATCTTCACGTTAATGTAGAAATGTGTGCGTTCACATAATGGAGGTCAACTTGAGGGACGAACCGTTCACTGCATTGTGTGCCTGCAGTTTTTACAACAGGCTTGTCCCTGTGAATTCAATGTGCAATTACATAAAGGCATTCCTGCAATGTGAGTTTACTTGAAACGTTCCTTTAAGTGCAGTGAGCAGTCTGATATATGTGCATGCAAAGTGCAAAAACATAGATTTTAGTAAATGTTTTGACATATATGACAATAAGGCAAAACAAGCCAATTTATTCGGGTCACAATATGGATTTCAAAAGCAAATCAGGCATAATTTTAAACCCCTTTTCTTCTGTGTGTGTTTTTTTTTGTTTGTTTGTTTTTTACCTTCAGAGTGTACATTTCATATTTTATCCTAAGAAAACAAATTACTTTCAATAAAATATTTCCCCCCCAAGGTTTACATATCTGTAATTTCTAACACCGGATCAGACAGTATGGCTGTGTATCCGAGAACTGAGCAGTTTCAAATGCCTGGTGGGGGAATGTTCGAACACAATTGTTTTTGCAAGAAAACTGAAGGTATTATTCATAATCCTGATAAATAAAGAGGATACATCAAGGTCGGACATTCTTTGAGTCGTAATGAGACCTGTGTGCATAATTTGGGAGAAACAAACATGGCTCCAGATCTGTGAGGCAGGCTTATTTTCCAGATGTGCTACCTTGCCTCACTGAAGCTTTTGTTGAAAGTAAATCTGAAGGAATTTATTATGGATACCTGAAGAATCTTGTTATGCACAGCAATAGTACAGACTCAACAATTTCCTGTTTTTATCATTGCTTTTATACTATTTACAAGTTAGGTCAAAGTCAGTGTTGCTAGCTTTTTTCTGTAGTTTCTTTGATTTGTCTGAGTTTTGGATTGAATCTGGAACAGGTAATGGTTTGGGAGATTTGCTTCACAGCTTTGGGAACAGATGTATCTGTATAATATATTGCTTTTCGACTTTTAGCACATCAAATTTAACTGCAACAAACCTCTTCAGTGAAAAGTTCAATATTTTCTATTTTTTTCCTAATGCGCTGGCAGGAACCCAACAAATTTTACACCAGCATCTGTTGGAAGCAATGCACGACTGGTTCTGCCTTACTTTTTATCTTTATTTTACCAGGATTAAAACTCATTCAGATTAAAAACCTCCTTTTTAGGGGAGTCCTGGCCAAGAGGCAGCAGTAAATACAAAGTTCATCTCAGTTCTCAGATCTAAATCCTTTAGGAATCCTTCAGTCTGATCTGAACCAAGCGGTCATAAAAAGTACCCTGATTATGGAAAATGTACATAGATTATGCAAAAGGTATTGGTTCAAATATCCCTCTCTCCTTAACCTTCAACTTAAATAAAAAACAACATTTTAGTGAAGGATTAGCCTGCTGCAGCAGGTTAATCCTGCTGAACTTGTCTCAGTAACAAACTCCTCAACATCGTCAGGGATTTCTCAGAACCCAAACCTGCCATTGAGGATTGAAAGTTTTCTCTGCTGTATAACCTTTGCCACAATAACTGATTGAGCCGATAAATGTGGCACCTTCACATGTTTGCATTGAATTAAAACTGAACTGTTTTAGTGGTCTGTAACTAAACCATGTCCTGTGTTCTTTAAAGCTGTTGGCCACTTTCAGCCTCACCTCGTGCTTTCTCTCTCTGCTGCCCCACCTCAGTGGCCTCCAGCTCGGCCGAGCACGACCTTCACTCCAACTGGGTGTTGAGGGTCCCGCGGGTCACAGACGACTCCGAACCGAGTGAAGCTCCCGACAGTGCCAAGGAAAGCGCTTCAAAGAAGGAGAAGAAGAAGAAGAAGCAGCAGCAGCAGCAGCAGCAGACCGGTTCCACAAGCAGCAGACTACGACTGCAGAGGAACCCGATCCACCTGCCCAAAGTGGTGGAGAGCGCCTTCCAGACCCTGCGCTTTAAGCCCAAATTAAAAAAGCAGTGAGGCTAACGTGGACACGTGAAACCAGCAGCACTGCCGTGACGCTGACTGAGCTCAGACTAAATGGTTTTTGCATCTTTTTAAGACTGCTACACACACTGACGCTGCAGCAAACGCAGTGGCTGGCAAAAGTATTCGTACCCCTTCGACCTTTTCACATTTTGTCTCATGCGGTTTGTATGCGGCAGATAAACACAAAGTAGTGCATAATAATGAAGTGGAGAGAAAATCAATGCTGATCTTTTTGCAAATAAACAAAAAATGACCCTGATTCTTCCCTCTTCACTCTGATGCCGATAAATAAAACCAAAAGCAACCAACTAGTTTGAGAGGAAACCTGACTTACTAAAATTGACACACCCTTGTGTAAATGAATCTCAGTATGAATCCAGCTGTTCTGATGTTTGGTAGAGAACATTGGTGAACAAAAGAAGATCAAGAAACAGAAACAGCAGGATGTGGAACAGTTTAAAGGGTACAGTATTAAGTAAAATTGACGTTTCTGACATTTACATCACGTTCTGATGTTATTCCCTCATCAAAAACATGAGGGATGTTATTCCCTCATAACATGAGAAAAATGTTTTCTCAAACATTTTTTTGAAGCATGTTTGAGAAATACTTTAATCTCCCATGGCAACCATTTAGCTCTAGGTCTAACTCCTGGTTGGATCTAGTGTCTCCATCAAGGTGCATCTCCTCCTCGGAGCTGCAGTTTTGAATCTTCAGAGCTTCCAACTTACAGAGCAGCCCTTCCCCGCAACTACCCCACTCAGCTCCTTCAGACTAGCCAGCAGCAATTAGCAAACAACTGGTCAAACTGTGCATCTGCTGAGCTCGTTATACAAGCTACTTTTCAGAGTGATGCTGGTAAAAAATGCTGTTGAAGGGCTAACAGAGAAGATGATGTGATGACTCCCTGAAGGCTGACATGATTGGTAAATATTGCAAGCATGCCCAAAATTTTCGGACGACTGAATCAAAACATCACAACTTCCTGGAGTGACTGGTTAATAGTTAGATTAACTGGGCAAACAGAAGGCAAGAATTCAGGACTAGTCAACCAATTTCTAAAGGGACAAAATTTGGTCCAGAAATATTTTTGTGCTAGTAATTACTTATTTATACCAAAAGCACCACTGAATATTTGAGTCATGGACCCGTGGATGACAGGAACCTGTAATTAAAGCTGCAAATTTGGTTGTTTTACATGAACATTCTACAATCATTTAACCTTCTAGCTGTGCTGCACAGCAAGAGAATAACTTGGAAGACTCTCCATTGGCCTAACGTACATCCTTTCTAAAAGTTCTCCGTTTCTTCCGTCATCTTGAGATCAATTTGACCGCCTGGTTCATCGCATTTCTTTCTAAATGCCTTTCGAGCTGAGCTGAGCAAGAGAAACCTTCAATAGGGTCGGCAAATGTCGAATTTTGGCTGATTGCAGTTTACAGTCCAGACTCGCGAGTGTGTGCTTCTGATGGGTATCAAAGACGATTTTTGAAAAGCAACAATGCTTCCTTTCAAGCTCAAAGTCAGAGACGGCTACATGAATTAAAGTTTCGTTTAACAGGTGGACGCGGCCAGGGCGAGGTCAAGGCCTCCCGGCTGCGTGAAAAGCTTCATACCAGCTCAAATACAGCACAATAATCCATGCTAAAGGTAAATAGGCCTTGTACAAGAAGGGTGAATAAATAAAGATGGAAAGCTTAAACGCTGTACAGATTTATTGACTTTTCAGATATTTTGGGGTTTGTGTTTTATGCCCGGCAGAGATTTATTACATAATTCTAACACGGTAAATACTTAGGGCTCAGTTTTCATTTTATAAACCAATTTTTTAAGAGTCGTCAATTTATTTAGGTGTACAAAGCTGTGAAAAGCCTCGCCCCCTTTCTGTTTTTAAATGTTTTATATGCTTCATATGAGCCTATTTGCACTTATCAGACACATTTTTTAAATGAGGATTTCTCCAAAATCATCTGAACCTCTTCAAAAAAAAAAAAAAAGGATTTACCCATGACTGACTACACTTTTCTGGAGAGCCGAGTTTGCTTTCATTACCCAGGGCTGAATAATATGGAGACCTGTAGAATCAAGAAATCAACAAAATATAACCTGATGCTATGAAGTAGGATAAAAGATCTACAAAGCAACAACTCATGTCCCAAACTAAAGAAATTCAAGTACAGACAAGAAACAAACTCACTGACACCAGCCGAGGTTAAATAACTTCAACTGGGTAAAAATTTCATCCATGGGAAACTTTCAAAGTCAAAACCTCGCTGTTCACGGAAAAGAACAAAGAGGTCTGTCTCGGTTTTCCCAAAACAACTTCAAGAGCTCTGAAATAGCATTTTGTAAAGTTAAAGAGATAAAAACAAAAAAGTGAAACATTTTGAAAGCCATGCATCCTTTTCTGTTGCAAGTGGAGTAAAACAAATACGACCGCTGCAGAAAAGAACGTCAGAGCGGCAAAGATGGCAGTGGCGGGGTGACGTTCTGGGCCAGCTCTGTTGCTACGACTTTCACTAATTCACGTAACCATTTATTTAGTTATCAGAAATGCCTTTCAAGTTACTTATTAGGTTACTTTTTAACATACGGTCAATACATCGAGTCAATTGAAAACCTCAATTTTGTTTTTACTCACGTTATCTTAAATCAGTTTGACGGTCAGAAACAATTAGGTGTGACATAAAAGCAAAACTAGAATCAATCTGTAAGCGGGTAAATACATTTTGTAAGCACATCATGATTTATACAGAGATCCTCTGTACAAACTATCTTGCCACTGTAGCTATTTGAAAGCTAAACTATCAGTCTACAAGCACTAAGAAGTTTATTATGGTGTATTATTTATTACTTGAGAAAACAAATCCCCTTTACTTTAATCCCTTTTCCTTCTCACAATTAAAAAGACAAACAGCCTTTCGGATAGGTTTTTCTTTCCTTTATTACAAAACATGAGTCGGGCGAATCCAAAAAGCACAACACATTCACTTCTTTTCAGCTTTGGTCTTTGGGCTGAAGAAAGAAGACATTGGCTTCATGCCACTCTTGTCCACTTTAGCCAATGTTTTCTGAGCAGCTGTCATCTTCTTGGGTGGCTGGAAATACAAAAAACGAGACAAAACAAAAATAAAGTAACAGCATAACGCAATTATTTAGCCTGGGATCATGATAGTAGCCCCACTGCGCTACACACAAAGCTAAAAGACAGCAGTAAATAAGCGAATTTACACAACGGCTGGAGGTTCTGGAAAGAAATTAAACAGCTGACTGTTTGATTTAAAATGAAATAAATGAGGTCTGAATCTGCTGAGGATGTTTCCTAATACGCGTGCACTCACTTTCCGGGCAAAGTCTGCACTGTTGAATTTGGTGTAGTCTTCTCCAGCCTCCACCGGCTTGTCGGAAAGTTTCCGCTTCTGCCAAAGGAGGAAGTGAGAGGCGCTTTTCATGACAAGAAGCACAAAAAGACAGACTCCACCGCTGCCAGCTTCACCGACCACAAGCTGAAGTCCTCAAAACCGCAGGATTAAACCACACAAACAGTGACCGAGGGCGATCGGCTCATTAAAGAACGCAAAAACAGAAAAGGGTTGAAGACTCAAAGAAAGCGCACGGTGGTTTTAGTATCATGTAAGACAGAAGAGCTGAGAAAAAACTTCAATGAAACCAACATACCTTAGACGGAGGCTCTGTTTCCTTCGGACTTTTTAGCTCTGGTAACCTGTGGCATTTAGAAAGAGATGAGTTTTGTCTACAAAGTCACAAAAACACATGCAAATAAGATTTTTTTTTTTCATTCAATTTAACTTGCCCCAAGTGTTTAAGGAGAGCTTTGCTCAGTTCTTCACTGATGTACTCAGATATCAGACCGTGAGCGTAGCGAAGGTAGTCTTCTGTATCGAAAAGAAAAGAGATGACCGATCAAATTCTGATCGTTTATTTAAATAGTTTGTGATGTAAAGATAAAAATAAAAAAAGTTGAAGTCGCCATAAAATAATACAGCACTACTGCCATCTGCTGGTTGATATCAGCACCTGCAGCTAAAGTACATTTAGGTTTATGAATGTTTTCTTTTTTATCAGTGTATCAAAATTAGCATTTTACTAAGGCTGCCTTGCAAAGATATTCATATCCCTTGTATTTTTTCACACAGCAATCACAAACTTTAATCTCTTATACGAATTTTACGTAATAAATCAACATAAAGATCAATTACTTCAATAGAACTATCTAACTAGTTAAATTTAACTAGTTTAACTAGTTATATTAAACTAGTACCATTTAAAATAGTCAAATTGAGTTCTATTTAATTGAAAAACAATAAAGTAAACCCCAATCCAGTGAGAACCAGCAGAAACACTTGAAATTTGACAAAATGTTAGACGTGTAAAGCCAGCAGACATATCCCTGGATCTGCAGCAAAAGGTGGGAGATTTTGTAAAATATTTTGAAAACCACGTCTTCATTTTACATCCACTTCACATTAACACACCGCTTCCTCTCGCTTTATCCCATAAAATCCCAGCAAACTACTTGGAGTTTTGTGGCCGCAACGTGACAACTCGCACGAAATGTCGAAGGGCCTGAATACGTTTGCAAAGCGCGGCTAAAAAGGGAAATACAGCGATGCAGGTTTACCCTCCCGGTCGTCTGACTCAGACTTGACTCTGACATAAGTTGTGGATTTCACTCCTTCTCCCACACAGATATTTTTCTTCTTCAGGGCAACGATGGTTCTCTCCACCTACGGCACAAGTATTAAAACATCTTCACACTTCTCCACTTGCTTTTGTTTTCTCTTGCTGCTTCAACATCCTGCGCTGTGTTTACCTTTTTTTGTAACCAGTTCATGGTTCGTTCTTGACTGTAGCGATGAAACTTCAGGCCTCCGACCTCTGTAAACGGCACACAAGTCAAGTCCATTTGCGAGGGATTTTTAAAACGACACAAAAACAATCAAGTAACAAAAAGGTTGACTAAAAAGCCAGGGGAGAGAAGTGTCTCAGGAAAAACGAAAAAAATACAACAACAAACAAAACAAGCAGTGTTAGTGGCTGCAGGAGCAGTTTGTTTCATAGTTTAGAGCAGGGGTGTCAAACGTACGGCCCGCGGGCCGGAATCGGCCCGCCGAACGATTTAGTCCGGCCCGGTGCCAAAATGCATTATTATTATTCATGAAAAAACATATACTTCGTTTAATTGAAAATCTGCAGTTCCTATACTGTCCACGAGGGGCGCTGTGTTTTATTCAGAGCACACAACATGATGCAACAGCAGATGGCAGCACTGAGCTTCAGGTTCTGTAAACAAGTTCGATTCTATGCTTTACCAGCTTTTTATTTTGGCCCTGGCAACCTCATATTTCTCGTGCATGCTAACATACATACATGTTATGTATGCATGTTTTTCTATATGTATGCATTTTATGCATCAACAAATGCAAGTCATCAAATGTCTGTTTAAAACAGCTGACACTTAAGTTTTCAAATGTGGGAAGCCAGATAATTTGTTCAAATTGCTTCCCAGATGTTTAAAATTGATTTTAA